AACAAACCTTGACGACTATAATAAATCGACATGCCCCTTTGATAGAAAAGAAAGTAAAAGGCCGTGATTGCCCTTGGTTAACCCATGAAATAAAAGAGAAAATGAATGAGCAAGATCACTTGTTGAAAAAAGCCAGAAAGAGTGGGAAAGAATGTGACTGGTGTAATTATCGCAAAGCACGAAATAGTGTCACAAAATGTATTCGCCAGCATAAAGCAAATTATAATCGCTCAGTCTTTCGTGAGAACGTTAACAGACCAAAACAGTTCTGGGATCAAATAAAGAAATGCTACCCAACACGAAATAAGGGGGAAACCCCAAACAAGCTGTTGTTTGACGTTGAAGGAAAACACATATCCGATAGCTATCTGATCGCTAATGCTTTTTGCAGCTTTTTTACTGGAATTGGTACACCATTCAACAATGATATGTCACATTAACGGAGAAACATTGGCAATTCCACTATAATCTAGACCGCTATTTCAATTACGGTTGTCACGGAGCAAAGCGGAAAAGTCGAATACAACCGCGAAAGGCTGGTGGGAATCGCTAACAAATTAATGAAATTTATAGCGATTCCCAGCAGCCTTTCGCGCTCATATTCGACTTTTCCAATTTCCGCTTTGCTTGGGGACAACCTTCATCAGTGGTGTAGCCCTGGATTGTTAACAAAGGGGCTCTCTAACAGGGGCGAAACTTTGGTATTACGGCTGGGGGGAGCCTGTTTTGCCCAACCGAGAGGGTGTTTCCGAAATCGTTCCTGAGGGACGAACAATTGATCAGTCGCTAATTAATATTTCTTTTCCCAAAATTGTTGGTGAGCAGAGCATTTTTCACTAACAATTTTTCCTACCACTATTACTTTTCAATCTGAGACACTCAAATATTTTCAACATTTGCCCGACTAAATTGTATGGGTATACCCGATGGGATACTGACAGGGGGTGTCACCACCACACCGCCCCCGCCCCAATCACACACACACCAGGGTAGTTTCGTCCCTGTTCTCCAAAAGTGTCCTGGCGGGGGGGGGGGGTATTTACAATATGATATTTTGGACATTCTAAATTTTGTTGGGTTTTTTTCTAATAATGGTTGGACAAACATATAAAATTATGCTTATTAAAAACAATTGCTGTTGGTAATTTAAAATATTCTGGCGTTTCAAAAGGGTATGTAATCCAAGCTAGTTTACTCTACCTTTTTTTGTAGATGCAATTCTAAAGAACATTCTGGTTTAAGATTATTCAAAAATTAAGGGGGGACTCAGCCCCCTCCCAAGTCAACATTATCAAATCAGCCCCCTGAGCTCCCCTCCCCTCCACTACACCACTGGTCTTAATTGAAATAACTGTGTGTACTACGGTACGCAAAGTTCGCCAACAATATTGGTTGAATGATAAAATAGGTCAAGTAAAGTTTCTTTGTTTTTTTTGTTACTTATAAGTACAAAGCAAAAGTAACTCTATGCAATTAACTATATCGTTAATCACTACCTACACTGACATTAATTACAGAGTTTCCACACTGTCCAAAAATGTAAATATATTACTTATTCATTTAACCTTCACTCATAGTCCGTTCCTCCTTCGGA